GTACTTTAATTTTGCACCATATTAAAATATTTTATTTAAATGCTCTAAACAAATAAACATATGACGTTTAATTTTCTTTTAATATAAAATTAAAAAAAAAAGGAAATTAATGTCACGAGAGAGTTATATATTCCCAATAATATGGTTTCTGTGCTACGTTTTGTAGGACCATTTATTGTCAATCGAAAGTTTGAAAAGATAATAAAAAAATTCTCCTATGGTGTTTAATTTAAACAATTTATTTTCGGTTGATCTCGACCAGTGTACACCACACTCGTGTTTTCCATATACGGAGGCATCGTCATTAAAGATTTTCATATAGATAAGGATGATATCAATAGCATAATTCCTGTTTCAATTCATTTTCCGAAAGGATTATCGCATTTTTTTATCGTTGAAAAATGAAAATATTGATTATATAATAACACTTAATCATTGGCCAATATGGTTTTGTTCAACGATTATTACGAGCCATATGCTGATATTTGTTGAGATATTATATAAATTAATATCGGTTTTTTACCGAGTTATTATTTATACAAAATATGTATTTAATAATGATTTTTGTCGTTCAGTTCTCGCCCATTGTACACCACACTCGTGTTTTCCATATACGGCGGAAGACATAATTTATGAAAAATGTCAAGATTTTTTATTTCAATGGAGCCTAAAATTGATAGATTGTACTCGATTCTATTTTACCGGATAGTTGTACTTGAATTTTGCACCATATTAAAATATTTTATTTGAATGCTCTAAACAAATAAACATATGACGTTTAATTTTCTTTTAATATAAAATTAAAAAAAAAAGGAAATTAATGTCACGAGAGAGTTATATATTCCCAATAATATGGTTTCTGTGCTACGTTTTGTAGGACCATTTATTGTCAATCGAAAGTCTGAAAAGGTAATAAAAAAAATTCTCCCATGGTGTTAAATTGAAAAATTTATTTTCGGTTGCTCTCGACAAGTGTACACCACACTCGTGTTTTCCATATACGGCGCTATCGTCATTAAAGATTTTCATATAGATAAGGATGATATCAATAGCATAATTCCTGATTCAATTCATTTTCCGAAAGGATTATCGCATTTTTTTATCGTTGAAAAATGAAAATATTGATTATATAATAACACTTAATCATTGGCCAATATGGTTTTGTTCAACGATTATTACGAGCCATATGCTGATATTTGTTGAGATATTATATAAATTAATATCGGTTTTTTACCGAGTTATTATTTATACAAAATATGTATTTAATAATGATTTTTGTCGTTCAGTTCTCGCCCATTGTACACCACACTCGTGTTTTCCATATACGACGGAAGACATAATTTATGAAAAATGTCAATATTTTTTATTTCAATGGAGCCTAAAATTGATAGATTGTACTCGATTCTATTTTACCGGATAGTTGTACTTGAATTTTGCACCATATTAAAATATTTTATTTGAATGCTCTAAACAAATAAACATATGACGTTTAATTTTCTTTTAATATAAATTTAAAAAAAAAAGGAAATTAATGTCACGAGAGAGTTATATATTCCCAATAATATGGTTTCTGTGCTACGTTTTGTAGGACCATTTATTGTCAATCGAAAGTCTGAAAAGGTAATTAAAAAAAATTCTCCCATGGTGTTAAATTGAAAAATTTATTTTCGGTTGCTCTCGACAAGTGTACACCACACTCGTGTTTTCCATATACGGAGCCATCGTCATTAAAGATTTTCATATAGATAAGGATGATATCAATAGCATAATTCCTGATTCAATTCATTTTCCGAAAGGATTATCGCATTTTTTTATCGTTGAAAAATGAAAATATTGATTATATAATAACACTTAATCATTGGCCAATATGGTTTTGTTCAACGATTATTACGAGCCATATGCTGATATTTGTTGAGATATTATATAAATTAATATCGGTTTTTTACCGAGTTATTATTTATACAAAATATGTATTTAATAATGATTTTTGTCGTTCAGTTCTCGCCCATTGTACACCACACTCGTGTTTTCCATATACG